TGGGCTACTGATATGCTCTATGAATTTCCTTTTTTGTTTGGAACCGTGTAGTTTTTGAAAATTCTTTCTTAGTTAACCGAAGAGTAATTCATTAAATTTTTTCACAGTTCTCTGAATATCAATTCCAACATTTTTCTATTTATTCTTCTTTCTTCTCTCCGCTGGTGACCAGACTCTTGAAACTACCAGAAGCAATTCGGTGTGGGCTAGGAAATTATGTAGATTTCGAAAATGTAATGACATACAGGGTGTTTCATTCGAACTACCACTTCCGGCTAAACCAGAGGTGGGGTGAAATCACCTGTATACTGGTGACATTCGAACATTCAGTGCGAAATTTTGAAATTCTGTTCTCACAAAATTTACGAAGATAATTAATGTATCATATAACTGTGACTCACCCTGTGTGTAGTTGTGGGATCTAGCAGTGAAAAACGTGATTGGAATGAAATGTATGGTGTGTTCAAAGGTTCAAAGTGAACTACAGAAGGAAATAAAGGTCTCAAAGGTGTTATGAAAGAAAGAGTCTTCGAGTTACCGCTTCTTGAAGAAATTGTAGGACCCCCGTACAATGTTTTGCTCCTATTTTCGCCCAAGGAATCTCCCATCAAGCGATGTTTCGTGTTTTTTTCAAAAATCCTGCATATCACCTCTGCATGAAAATCACAACAAGCACACTTTTGCACTTAATTCAACATTGAATATTTTCGCGAAGATTCAACATAGTCGGATGAGTTTTTTTCACTTTATAGATACATTCATTGGGTACCTATATGACCACTAGACCGCTGATGAAAATAGGTGTTGTCAGCTGGACCATACAGGGTGACAAATGAACCTCTGCAAAATATTGAAAAAATCTCCATGCTGTCAAGTAGATGGAAAATCCTCGGGATTCTCTAATCATATTTTCATAATGATTAAGTATATTACTCGAATTGATTAGGCTATTTTACTATATCTCTCCAATTAATAAAAAAATATTTCCGGAAAATGTAACATTTCGTACTTATGATCAGAAATATATCATATTACAGCGCTATTTTCAGAGATGCATTATTTGTATTCAAATTAATTTGCAAAAATTATACAGGATTATACAGGGTGAGTCAAAAATGTGTACCGAGCTTTCTTGAGGTGAAAAAAAAAATAGAGAAATAAGTAGATTTCGATAAATAAACTAATGGCCCAAAATATACAGGGTGTCTGTAAAAAGTCTTTACAAAAACATACCACATATTCCCTAGACCAAAATAAGTCGATTTGAGTGGAATTACCTCAGTACAAAGTTGCATCGTTTGGGCTCCAGAGGGCCTTGAAGTTACAATTTTTAAATCGTTTTTCCCATATAAATTCAAAACGGCATATGCGATATGGTGAAATTTGGTATATTGATAGAGTTTTATGTGGCAAAAAAAACGGCGTTAAAATTTTGTCCGATAATAACACATAGGCGTAGAACTTGATTTTTTAAATAATTGCATCTTTAAAAATTCTACGCCAATGGAAGAAAAGGAGTTTGAGTATGAAATTTAGATTGCGCAACTTATTTACTTTTAAAAAGGTACTCTTAATAAGACTCGATTGCTCTCATGGTTTTGACGAAAGTTGCATTTTAGTAATTTTAGAACATAAACAATAATTATTAAAACACAAACTTTGTCAAAACCATGAGAGTATATCGAGTGTTATCAAGGGTACTTTTTTGTAGTAAATGAGTACCCAATCCCAATCCAAATTCATACTCAAACCCCTTTTCTGCCATAGGCGTAGAACTTGATTTTTTAAACAATTCATATTTATTCATATATAATTTCTTGTATATGCTCAAAAATTACTAAAATGCAAATTTCGTCAAAACCTGGATAACCTGACTTCACCATGTATCTACAATAGCGGTCCAGTAGTTATATACCGAGTTTTTCTCAAGAGTGGCTCACCCCTATTTAACTCATTTATTTCTGCAGATGAACAAATGAAATTCGGTGTCCAAGTAAAGTACATAAATATGCATTTTTTGAAGTATTCAATTGTTCTCGGTCACTTCAGGTTTGACCCCCACTTCCTTATTTTACATGGAACACCCGGTATAGTTTTACTTATTTCAATAGATAATCACATTGTGAGTGACATTCATCATACTGAAATGTTCGATTTCAAATTTCAAATCTAGAGTGCCATGAATGAGTTAAAACGGTTAATATTGGATCAACTTACCAGGAAAAAATAGTGTCGATGGATTTTTTATTGAAAGTGGAGATACAAACTCGAGTATATCAGTTTGATATATGATAACTTCCTGTTATTATAAATATGTCAAGTTGATGTTATTTTAGTATTGTGTCTGTCAATATATTTATTCAAATCTTATCCGATATCTGCATCCATTCCATTGCCGGTCAATAGTTTCACTTTTAATTTCTTTTTCAGGTTCATTCGAAGTTCAAAAAATCGTATTCATGATGTAAACTCAATGTTTTCGAATGTAACAAACGTGGCTCATCATCACCACACAATCGATATTTGACATGAATGTTGAATAACAATGACACTCTAGATTGAAAATTTGATAAATGTCAAACAGGGACAAATAGGGTCCCATTGTACTCACAATGTGATTTTCTATTGAAATAAGTAAACATATACCGGGTGTTCCATTTAGAATAAGAAAGTAAGTGTTATTTTCGGTCAAACCTGGAGTGACATAAAACAATTGAATTCGTCAAAGAAGCATATTTATTTACTATACTTACATACTGAATTTCATTTGTTTATCTGTACAAACAAAAAAGTTATAGGAGTGAGAAACACCCGGTATACCCAATAATGGATTTATCGGGGGTAAATACATAAGAGATGATTTTTTTTTTAATACAAATACATGTTTGACTGTATGAAATTTTTATCGTCATAGCAAACAATCAAGAATCGAGGGAGTGAAAAATTCGCGAGTGCTTGCTCGAGCGATGTATTCTACTTTCCTTGATTCGAGATTTTTTTGCCTGATGATAATAAAATTTGAATGTAATTCTTAAAAGTTTGGAATAAAAAATTCAATTAATAAGTTAGAAAGCCATATTAACAATACACATTTTAAATTATCAATAACATATCGAAATATTCACAAATTATCACTTATTTTCAGTGATAATGAATAGAATTCTTTGGGATATTACCAATATGTTCAGTAGTAGAATTTTCTTGTCTTATATTTATATCTCGTGTAGTTTGGATCCCAGAAGGTTCAGGTATCAGGTTGCTGATCAAAATAGCATGATGTACCTCGTCTAACTGCAAAGAAGGACGTAATGACTTTGCAATTGTGTCCAGTCATTTTGATTTGCTGTTTTTCCGGGACACCTGACTTTGGCAAGATTTGATACAGCACTTGATCGATTTGAATGATTCGTGATCTTGTTTGTAACAGTATCAAGCCCTATTCTTTCCGTAGATTGTTTGGTCCATTTTTCTATCTCGTTCATCCCAATTGGCATATTTTTGTGCCGTCCAGAATCGGTGATGTCATTCCAGTACGGATTTACAGCCAGAAATAGACGGTCTGAACTTTGGGGAAGTTTCCTTCAGATGAATTTTCATAAAATAAGTTCGTTTTCATTTTCCAATTGAAGCAATTTCTAATTTTCGGCAAACTGTGACGTACATTCAGAATCGAGTCTGAAAATAGCTGATGGTGAAGGATATAGCTAACGAATAGCTAACGAATGAAAAAAATAGAAGAAGAAGTAAAACTGCTAAACAAAAACATACATAACCACAAATGCACTCGGAGCAGGAATGCAGAGGGTAGTTGGCTTCATTCTGACATGTTGTGGTTTTGTTATTTAAGTATTGAAATATCTCGAATAGAGCTCGATTCTAAACGAAAAAAAATCATTGAATCAATGAATCACTATCGGTTACATTCAATGATACTCTCCTTCCTAATTCACTGCCATCGGTCAGAAAATTCACCTATATTCATTTCATTTTTGTATTTTTTTTCTTTCTGAACAGATTCTGAGTAGATAAAGTTTCTCCGTCTTTCTGTAACGTTATAAACTAACTGAAAATTATGAAATATGACCGAAAAAGTCGCTATATTTTAGAAAATTTAGCCTGCGGCGAACTTTCTGCTCGCTTCGCTCGCTTTAGCGACTTCTAGCGGTTTTTTTACCAACTTTTTGCGACATTTCATGTTCAGCAGCTGGCAACACTGGACTCTAGGTAGGTATATGTACACCCCAATCGAGGCGAGCGTAGGAAGGTGGAAAGAAACGCCACCTGATGGCGAAAATGCAACTAGATAATCATTCAACAAAAAAATTTGTTTAATATAATGTACCTGTGGGTTCTGTTCAACGAAATAATCTGTTCGAAATAACAACATAAAATGATGTGTTGAATCAACAAAATATAATGTTGTTATGATAATTAATTCAATTTTGTTGAATAGAAATAAACCTTTGATTGGTTGCATAATGAAATGATTACTGAATCAACAAAATATGATGTTTAACTCAGTTAAATCTTTGTCAAAATTAATTTAGTTTTGTCAAATAGACAAAATGCATATGATTGCTTGAACATTGAGATGATAGTTGGATCAACAAAATTTGTTGAATGAAATGAAACTTTTGTTCAAGTAAACAAATATTTCAATCAAATTATTTTCTCTTATTGAATAATTCGCTTATTTGGAATATATTTTGTTGATTTCGCAAAATCGTGTTTAATTTAACAAAAAGAAAAAAATTACCAAAATTATTTTGTTGGTGCAACAAAACTTTTTTCCTCGTGTACAAATGCCTGGTGATTGGTCGGTTCTACGAAATTGAAGAAATCTCATTGGTTTTTGGAATAGGCGTGGATTAATCCTTAAAACAAGGAAAATCTCGTTCGAATATGTGCAGTTATCGCGAAAATATTCAATGTTGAATTTATAACGAAAAGTTGCTTCTTGTAGCTCAAGTGATCATCAGTTTATTTTGTATGCTTTTCAGGAATATCGGGAAAACCATGACGACCAGTATCTCCACAACAGGAGGCCCAGTGGCCGATATTTGAATCCAATATGCCGCCATATGGAACCGATTGATTGTTCACTTGCTTGAGTTTCTTGTTCATTTCATTAAGCTTAAGGTTAATCAATTGAAATCAATTTAATTCGAAATGTGATCTTCACTCTACTCAGAAATAAAGTACGTATGAATTTTATAAATTTCTTTCAATTTTAAACGCAACGACGTAAGTGCAGTTACATTTACAGGGTGATTCAAAATTCGATGTAAATATTTCATTTCATATGAACATGTTTCCTAAAATACACCCCATCCAAGCTACATCTACAGTGAGTTAGGTAAAAAAATATCTAAAATTGTGACTAAAATAACAAACCAAATTTTCTGAAAATTGGCTGTCTTTTTAGACACTTCATTTTCTTCTTGCTCCACGAATGATGTAAACCCAGTTTGAGGGTATTTGGAGGGGGGTCCACACTTTCATTGGTCCAAATTTCATGTTTAAAGATATAAACTCTGAGTTTTGAATAAGATGATTTTGTGGGCGATAAAAAAATTGAAGAATTCGGTCTCTTGCATTTTTTTTTTCATACAACTAACTGTTTGCCAGGAAATCGTAATCAACAAAAGGAGAAGTCTCGATATCGTTTCCGAACGCTTGCATACGGAGGTGATCGTATCTCACATGTCGGAACGCATTTGACTCTGCTATTTCAGAGGCGTGCAGTACTGGAATACTTGCATTTGATCCGTTATTATGTACATAATTTCAGATATCCTTTTTTTTAGCCAACTTACAATGGCTCTAGCTCGGAGGAGGGGCATTTTAGGACACATGTTTATAACGAGAAGAAGTCTTATTTCGATCCCAACAATGCGTCCTTGAAATATTCACATCGAATTTAGAATCACTCTGTATAAAAATTCAGGGTGTTGCATCAATACTACACAAAACTTCGAGGTCGTATTTTTTGGGACGAAATAAGAAAAAAAGTTCATATGAACATACGTTCGAAAACGATTCATTTCCGAGATACAGTATTGAAGTTGGAGGATGTCATTTTCAACAATTGTTATGAAATAACATCAGTCATTTAGTTGATAAACGTACCCACCGTATTCACTTTTAATCCATACTTGAACCTTTTATTCATCATTACTGTTCTTCTCCTCACGGGTTCAGAGACAAGCATGGGTTCGGTTTTAATGTTCTTCCTCTAAAATGAAGCTCGATGCGCTAAAAAAGTCAGGAGCCAAAAAATATGTATTTTGAGTTTTTGTAAATGAGATCATCACGAAAACAAACAGTTCTGTTCGAAATGAGCAGTCTTCTACTTTTGTTTTTCAATAATCAATATTGACAAGCAGGTTTTTCTCGTTTTTGAAAACAGATACTATAGTTATTCAAATACTAGCCTATGTGGAGAGAACTAGTGGGATCATCACGAAAACAGTTCTGTTCCAAATGAGCAGTCCTGTACCTTTCTTTTTCAATAATCAGTATTGGCAAGGTTTTCCCCTTTCTTTGAAATTAATGCAATAGTTATTCGAACACTAGTCAACGTGAGAGAACTATTGAGATATTCACGAAAACAATTCTGTTTCAAATAAGCAGTCCTCTCGTACCTTTCTTTTCCAATAGGTAATCAATATGGGCAAGTAGGTTTCCCTATTTTTTGGAAATAGATAATATAGTTCTTCACACACTAGCCTACGTGAGAGAACTAGTGAGATCATCATGAAAACAGTTCTGTTCCAAATGAGCAGACCTGTACCTATCTAATACGGGTCAACTAAAATATTACTACGTTAACCTCGAGAAAAAATTTCTGATATGATACAAAACTATCGAGTGTGAATCGTTAACCACTTGAAACTTCACATGCCGACGTTGCCAGGTTCATAATTCCGTTTCATTGGCCACAATAGATCACAATATGCTTGACTGTGACCAATGAAAAAGGGTACATACTCTGGCAACATCGGCATGTAAAAGGAGTCACAGCAGCACACGACAGCCCACAGCCCAGTGTGAAGATCTGTTGAAGGCAGGAAAGGAAACCATACAATTTACCTACATCATCCATCTCTTTTATCAAACAGAAAGCGACAAAGAGTCCCTTGCGGTGTTTGAAATGATGGAACTTCATTTTAATGAAGACTACTACAAATATAGAAGAAGTGGGTGGATTTTTAAAGAATGAAATTCAATCAAACATGCGCCTCACACAAATTATTATCTTCAAATTGCTTATTATGAGGTCATTTTATTGAATATTTTCCACGTTAATTCAAAATAATATTGAAGAAAATAAGTGTTTGTGGATGTATAGTTTCGGGCCAGGAGCTATTTCACTTCCAGTCAGCTGCTCATGATTTATAAGGCAAAGATCCGTCCTGTCCTGGAATACTGTTCCCATATTTAGAGTGCAACACCGAAACATACCCTGAAGCTGTTGGAATCTGTCCAAAAAAGGCAATTCGTCTCGTGGGTGATGCCTCGCTCAAAAACTCACTCACTTCTCTAGAACACCGTAGAAAAGTTGGCGATCTGGCTCTATTTTATAGATATTTTCATGGACGATAGTCTTCTGAAATATCAACAATTGTTCCTCCCTTGGCAGTCCCCGCGAGACCTGTAGAACATCTCTTTCCAAAGACTCGTTTATCCAACGAACAGCGAGGCTCTGGAACATTGCCAAGGGCGGTGTTCCCTGAGGCATATAACCTCCAGAAAGTTAAGAAGAACACCAATTCCTACCTGATTTCCCTTGGTTCTCACGATGTTCTCAAAAACATTACAGGATATTCCTTTTCGTGGAAACCAGAAAATGAAAAAAAAAATGTTTCATGTTACGATTGTTCAGTTCTATATACGTTTCTGAGATGCAATTTGGTTTAAAATTTTAAAATAACCCTAAAATTGAGCTTATTTGTCATGTATGTATTTATATAACATCACCAGATTACCAAAAAGTCATTTACCTATTACACCAATAACAGTATCGAATTCGAACTCTTTTCAGATGCCACTAGAAGGAGAATATCAGAGATGTCTGATAAACATTTAGAAATATGCGTGTGTGAGAGCCTGGTTCTGGCAGGCATCGCAGGATTGAGCCGGGAGCCTGATATTTTTTATACATCAAATCTCTAGATACATTAGAATTTCAATTTTTCATCACCTTACTTCATCAATTGTTACAGCACTGTTGAGTGGGTATACCAGAATCATATTTTCACTGAGCCAAAACAAAAATATTATAGGATTTGCAGACGACACAGCCATCTTTTATAAAGCCGATAACTGGGATTCATTGAAAGTGAAGGTTGAAACAGAGTTTTCTTTAATAAAATGTTGGTTGGATAAAAAGTTATTAACAGTTAATGTGGACAAAACGTATTACCTTCCATTCTCATGTAACTCTGCTTCGATCATCTTTCAATCAGGACAGATACAGTTTTCGATATTCAACAAGAGGAAAAAATTAAATATCTAGGAATTATCATTGACGCCCATTTGAAATGGGATTCGCATATCAAGTACATTGTCAATAAATTGAGGACAATTTTATTCAGATTCAGAAAACTTAAGGATATCTTACCTCTCAAGTACCTCAAAACTCTATACTATTCTCTTGTGGAAAGTCACATCCGCTATGGAATAATAGTGTGGGGCGGAGCTTTGAATACTCATATTCATTCCATCGAAGTTATGCAAAGACGTTTTCTTAAACTGATTTTTTCCAAAAATAATAGATATCCTTCTGATGAACTATACACTGAAACACAGATGTTGGACATAAGACAATTGTATTTTTTGTGCTCCAGCAGTAGATATCATGCAAACAAACATTCAGCATCGCTTCCTGCTCATCAGTACAATACTCGTCAAAGGGATCATTATTTCACACCACTAATGGTTAGGGTCGTTGCTCAACGCTCCTATACTTACTTTGCTCCAAAGCTATATAATAGCATTCCTGAAATCATCAAATCACTAGTGAGTATTCACAGCTTCAAAAAACAACTGAAGAAACACATACTTCAATGTCAAAGAAATCAGCTGCTACGACTATTCGAGTAAATGAAAATCCTACGAATTGCGCAAAATAAGTCTCTACGTACTATCGCCATGTATAGATCCATAATTCAATTTTTTTTATATTTCTGAATTTTGAATTGATTTAGAATTATTTATGTATATCCATGTATATTTTGTATATTCATGTTCGTTTCTATGAGTATATTTTCTACTACTTTTTATGTATCCATGTATATTTTTGTATTTTATCTATATTCGTTCAACGAAACAAGTACATTTTGTACTTATCGTTTTTTTTTCGAACTTTTGCTTTTTTATTTGTACATTTTTATATGTTTCATGTTGCTTGAATGAAGTTCTATATTATTATTATATAGGACTATATTTTGGTAAACTGCAATGTCAATGGTTGTTCACTAATGACAAAACGAACATTCAACTATGAAATATGGTAGAAGTTAGTGATTCTATAATATTTCAAAGTTGAATGTTTGTCATTATGTCGCTAGTGAATTTATCAAAATATATGATTCTAGTAAGTAATCTGTAAGGTTTCTATATGTGCTCAAATGATACATCTCAACCAACTAAACAAATTTGGGAGCTATGTTGATGCAAGGTTGCAAATGCAATATTGCAAATGTAAATTTCTAAATGTAACGTTCAAGCAATGTCACAGCAACATGTGATATTGCTGCAACGCTACATTATCAAACTTCATCTTTGCAATATTGCTGAACGTTCGTTTCAGCTATTGCTTCAACATTGCATCAACATAGCTCTCAATTTTGCTTGTTGGGAAGGATGTTATAGAGGTTCTGTTGAAAAATCTCGAGTAGTGCATTCGTGAAATATTTTGAACAGTGCAGTAGTCAAAATGTTCCTTAGACATTCCTCCAATAACGTTGAGACGTTCCTGCATGGCATCGGGAAAGATAATTAAATGTAGCAAGGCCATTGCAATTGAAACATCTCAATGTAACATTACACACCCTAGGTCA